TTTTTAAGCTCTACAAAATGGTTTAAAAAGAAATTGTGAAATTTCGTGTTTTTAGGGTCAAAAATGGGAAAAGCCTATTTTTACCCCATAAAACCCCCCATAAACCCCCGTTCCTATAGTCCGATCATGCTGGTTCGCGAACTCATTCAAGTTTATCCCGCCTTACACCTTCAAACCAAATTTTATCAAAATCGGACAAAAACTACTCAAGTTATCGTGCGGATGGACACACATATATATATATATATATCTCTATATATAGATATATAAAAATTTGAACGAATGGTGTTTTTGGCCTCTGGGGATATCAAAATGAAAAAGTAAATCGGTCCCGGGCTTAGGTCTTACCATGAGACCTACGGTAATAGCTACTTCCCTATAGGGAAATTCGCTAAAACAATCCCGGTCTCGTGTTAGCATCCTGGAACAAAAAAAAAGCTCAGGAGTTTCAGAAACAGTAAAGTTATAGAATACCTTAAGCACCTTATCATGAGCTCCTCGGTCAGAAAAACACCCTTTGCAAGAAAATTAAGAACTTTCTTTTACTGTGAAGTTAAGAAGTCTTGTCTGGTGTTGAATGTGTACATTGTGCGTTTAGGTTATTTAGGTAGCACTTGGTCTTTCATGTTGAACATTTTTATGTCTACATGAATTGCCTTTAATATTCCGTCTACAAAAATAAGATGTACTTAAAACCATTGTACGTACGCAAGACTTCAGATTGGTATTCCAAGCAAATGTTTTTTTATAATGTGTTCAAATGTGTGCAAATGTGTTCAGTATATATATTTTTGCATCAATAGTTCTAAGATATACATTTATACACAAACAAAACAAAATGACGAATATCTTGCTAACGACGCATTTTTGGAAGTTAATTCTTAATTTTCGTTATATTTTGACCTATTGAATCTATTCCAAAATTGTTGGTGCTCACTTACGGGACACCCTGTATGGATAATGCTTTTCTTAACGGTTAGACTGGCCAGTGTTGGGGTGAGAGTGAGAGATATAAAGTAATTGTGTCACAGTAACTGATACTTCTCGGTCTGCCGCGACTGCGCACTGACCTTAAATGAAACTTGCAAAGATAATGTTGCATACCAGAAGACTTAAATAAACTCAACTGTATCCTACCTTTCAATATTGGTTGAGTTGTTGGCCAAAAATAGTTTTGAAATTTGATACCACGATCATGGGACATCATAGTACTGAAGAGAATGTAAATTTTCTAGAAATGTGGTCTTAGAGAGGAGGAAACAAACTATACTATGTGATAGACAAAACACTCATATTCCTTCACTCTCAAAACGCTTATGGCTGATTGTAGGGTCATCTCTGTAAATTTTACTTAATTTGTTGCTTATTTAGAAATTTCCGTAGCAACAAATAATGAACCGAAACTGACAATGTTTGCATACCAATACAAGTTGATGTCTGCAATAATTTCAAAACCCAATACATTGCATGCACATTGGTTTCAATAACGTTTGTTGTGCAATATTGGAATATCGGTATTGACTTGATTGCACATGCTAGTGCATTAATATTTTATGACTTCCAGTTGTTACAAATGGGAAATGGAATGCATGCTTCTATAGAAATATTATAATACATGTTCGTTGAAGATTTTTGAAAAATGTACCAACCCATGTTAAGAGTTTCTAATACAATCAATACATGTACAATTACACCCTTCGTGAGGTAATGATAAAGAAATGGCAACTACTTAGCATCAATTAACTAGTGAAAAATAATTGAAACTGTTAACCCCTTCCTTATCCAGTTTACTAATTAATGAGCGGGTTGTTTCATGGAAAGCTTGTAATTGTTCTCATGTATTTTATTTTACTACCGTATTTTAAAGTGGTTTGAATGTTATTCCGAAATTAGCTCGTCTCACAGTTAATGTATTTCAAACTTCTTTTAACAAGATGACTCATAGTGGCAAATACGGTTTTGTAACCTTTCTTTGATGTAAATACATGGTTAAAATTGTCAAAAACTAACATACAAATATCATAAAGATAAAAATAAAAATCATATATAAAGATGAAATCTCTGTACTCGTGGAAGAATTTCGCTTTCAATCTAATCTGGAGTTTCGGTTTCGTCAAAGGTCAAAAGAATTCCAAATCACTCGGACCGCGAAATCGTTTCTGAGCGTCAGAAACTGTTCTCATAAACGTAGAACCTCCAATTGGCGATGAGTTATCTGAGGGGCGGTCACGACTCTGGGAACAGACCTTATCGCACTGATAACAGAACAGATGTAACCGAGGCACGACCGTTGTTGTTGCAACCCGATGTTGTGGTCCAGGGACTGTTGCTGTTGGTCATCTCTGCGAACCACGACGGTGGTCACTTGTGTAACTCGTGGGGTCCTCTACAGTTCCATTTATTATGTAGAACCTCGATAACAAGACTCTCACGGGAGTATTAAGTATTAAGTAAGACTTGTTATCAAGGGCGATTTCCTAAGAGTCTTTAGGCTTCCTTTAAATAGCCCTTGGGCTTCATTCTTAAGCGGCCATCTTGGTTAGTTTCAAATAGCTGCTGAAGAGTTATTTATCATCGGAAAGTATTTTTTTTATATCAAAGAATTATAATTTAAATATCTAGGACATTGTGAGATTAGTAATTGTCTTTGTACTTTTGAATTGTTTCCCAAGGGAGTCCATTGAATGAGGGTTTTAGGCTATCAACGATGGATTTCAATTTATGGAATAAAATGGGAATCACATGATGCAATTGGATTCGTAGGATTTGTGGGAATCGTAAGATCAAAATAGAATTGACGTGAAATCGGGAATCATTGGATGCAACAGTGATCAGGGGGTTAAATGTAAATAGTAAATATTTGTATTTGTAAACAGTTTTCCTGAGAATCGCACAAAGGGCACAGAATGTAAATAAGACTGGTTATATTCTGTGCCCTCTAATATCGTAATACGTTAGCAAATTGAATTGCCGTTGGGAGTCAAATGAATAAATGTCAACTCTAAAAAACATCATCAGTCTCTGGCAGGCTCCTAAATACCAGTGTTTTAGCTATAGTAAAGTCTTAAGAATGACTCCGACTGACCAACAGAATGCTTCTACAAATTTATCATTATGGTTAAAATATTGACAAAAAGATTTTAAATGTTCATTTCGTGATATTTCATTCACGCAGACAAAGAAACCTTTATTTTTTGTAATTGAAATACAACTACATCTAAGAATAAATAGAGGAGAGAGAAGAGAATAGAAATTAGAATAGAATAACGTTCCTCTACAATTTCAATAGATTAATATATTACTTTTTCCTACCACTGCAAGGAAATAATTACATTGCCACACCTATAAACACTACGCAAAATAGCTCTTTATGCTCTTGAGCAAGAATAGATCATTACCACTCGCTAATCAGCTGATTTCACTGTTAACGTTTAAACACCTATCACAACCGCGGATTAGGTACTTTAACAACCCGTAAACAAATAACATAACCTAAAAAGTTAATTTTTGTGTTACGATAAGTTAATAACTTGTTTACTTAAAAGGTGATATGTTAATCTTGTGTGTAAGCAGTCATTGCCGCTCTTAGCGTTCTTAATACACAAATAGTTGTAATATGTCTTTTTACCTATCTACAGGGTAATTTTGAACGCAGCTTTAAACAAACTATTAGCTCCCTGTCTGTCTACAGCGGTGAGTTCTGTTCAGTCCGCATGCTACACCACACAAACACACAACCACACAACCACACAGCCACACAACCACACGACCACGCAGTCACGGTTGGAGAACTGTTTTATGTTCTTTATCAGATATCCAACCAAGGTCAACGGAGTCAGTGGACGCTTCCCACATATCTCTACGTTATTGGCGAATCAACTCCTGGCTGGGGGTTTATGCGGTCACTCACTTCACTACTGTACTTAGTTCCCCAATTAGGCTGGGTGTTTGCTTGCAATTATCTTGATAGGCTTATCATTTTAGATCTTTTAAGTTGTTCATCCCATAATGATTTGTTGAAATATTTTTTATTGCTTTAATTTTGTGTATTAATTTCCACAATTATAATAGGATATAATATTACCTCTGAAGGAATCGCTCAACCGATTTCTGCTGCAATGAGATTATTGTTTTTAGTGAAGGAGATTTCTGTATCCCTTCCGAAATTAAAAGATCTAAATTCAATTTGTTTGTTTTGTTGATAGGTCGGTATACAGATTACATGTATTTTGAACTGTTGGGTGATGAGATCACCTGTTAGCAAATTTCGTAAGATTTGAACCCGACCCTTAACGAAAGACCCGCACTCTATATATAGTCACTAAAGTGTTTATTCCGCTTGTTGCTTAAGTTTCCTATAAGCAAATTTACGTTTAAGACAGTTTTTTTTCTAAGATTCGTTGACATTCTAGATAGGGGAAGCCACACCCCAGCTGATAATATAATCCTTATATATAATACGTGAAGGCGATTTCTACGAAACACTACTCCTCCGTTAAAATGGGCGGATTTTTACAAACGATGTGTCAAAATTAAGTATTTTTTTGTGTAGACGCCCCCTTTCACCAATTCCTGTAATAAATGTTCTCGGGCTTTGCCCCACAGGCCATCAAAATCCCAATATATTTCTTATGAAGAAAATATTTTGTCTATTTAGACGAATAATTTGTATTAATTACAGCTGTTCATAGTGAACACATGATACACACAAAATCGTCCGTTTTCAGAGTGAGTTTGTTTTCAGTTTCAATAACTGGAGTGGAGTGAGCGTTTGTTTTCAGAGTGAGTTCGTTTTCAGTTTTGATAACTATAGTGGAGTGATTTTATACATTATTTTTGAGTTGACTCTTTTAAGTAATCGGATATTATGACTGTTATTCGTTTTGAAATAACGCCTGGAATACTTTGCGATTGCTCGAATTCGAGCAACAGGTGCACTAATTTATCTTAATTCTTAACTGATTTACTTTTCAACTTGACCTACATAGTCAATATTACAGGTGGTGGCCGGCCTGGGCCTGGTGGTGTTCCGAGCCCTCGACTTCGGCCTGGAAGATGAGGAGGAGAGACATCTTCACCCTGACTTGGACCAGCTCATCAGCGACATGACGAGGACATGTAAGTTTCTGTAACTCATTGCTTTATTTTACTTCAAAATGTGAATTTTCAACGTCCTAAACAATCTTCTACCAGTTGGCCATGAATTCTACCATGGTTTTGTGCACTTTCCATAAAAAGTATCAAGTTCAATGGCTTATGAATGTTTTAACAGCTGATAGCACTCAATACTATGTTATTGATTACTTAGATTTAAAAGCGTAGCGTTCATTGGTTTAAAAAGGTGAAGACCAGTTGATCGAGTTGCCACTTGATCGACGATTCGACTGATGTCGACCAAGTTGCTTGTCGATCAAGTGGTATTTAAGTTTTTATGGATACTACAATCTTTAGGTGTATCTTTCTCTCTTTTACTACCTACTCGACTATCCATGCAAACGAGATAACTCCAGTAGCCTACATGATGTCTGGAGTCCCCAGCCTCCGTTATCACCCCTCGCTCAGTGACCTGGAGACTTGGGTTGTAGTCATAAACCACGTCGAGCAATGCCTGGGCAAACTTCCTGTGTTTAACACCGGTATATAACTGTTATCTTGGGTCGTTGTCCCGGCTAATCTTAGCGATAACGGCAAACTGCTGTCGTATATTGTCTCGACTCCAGACGAGAAATTTCTGGAGAGATATTTGTTGCAAAATAATTGGTTGCTTGTGCGTCAGCATCAGTCATGGAGGATGATGGTTATATTCAAGGGTCATGTCTAGTGAGATCTTGGATGTTTTCAAATACAGTTCCTAGGTCCGTATTTGCTTACAATTTGATATTCTTTTGAAGTTTTGAGTCGACTATGAGTAGGCCTACGTGAGCGTATGTGTGTACTGGAGTACTGGAGGCGGAAGTGGTGCGGCACTGGTAGTGCATAGTTCCGGTGTACCCAGGGGGCGGAGGCATGCATCAGTCCCTCCATCCATCCATACATCCATATTGTACAATGTACAGCATCCATATTGTACCCAGCCAGTCCCCACAATGGATCTCGAGACCATTATTCAGTTCTTCCTGGGAGAGTACGTTCTTGTGTATTACAGCTGTGTTTGTTAGTTAAAAACCCTCGAATTCGCTAGTTAAACTCGTATAAAATCTTACAAATGTCTAAAAATTGTATAGATTTTGCATTCGTTTTTGCAAAGCTCAATGTCACTATAGTCTGTGTGAAGGAACCTTTCTCCTGATACGTCTACTGGGACTGTACTCAGGCTAAACATTGGCCAGCACCCTGGTAGAAGGAGTGTCATGAGACAGGTTCCTTCATACAGACTATAGTGGCATTGTTTGAGCTTTTTCTATCATTTACAGTTTAGGCATTTTGAGGCAGTTTAGATTTTTGTAAGCATTCAACCCAACATATTTTTGAAGCTTATAAACTGACGTCATAACAATAAATTTCATCCCTTTAAACATTTGTCACTTAATTGAGTTTGCGAATAAAATGACACCATTGAAGTCAAGATTTAAACAAGAAATTTGTTTAACTTTTAAGCGTTGGTTCATACGCAATTGCATTGCTAGTCTTATAGTATTTTTTGTTTGTTTTCAAGTGATACACCTCTATATATGTTCCTTCGAAGTTTTACCAGGTCTATTATGGAATTGATTACGGTGTCAAAGTGCCAGAGCTTAAACTGGTCAGTAATAGACTTGTAGTATTTCAAAATAGCAAAACCGTACAATCATTCAGATGAAATCACATCTCCACTTAGTGTTCGTTGATTACGATACAAAACATAATAAATTTCTGACTTTACAAGACAAAAATTGTGGTTGCACGCAATCTAAAATGGAATACCTTCGCAATATCAAAAAGGTTTGCCTAAAATCTGCAATTTAACATTTTATTTTAAAAATTTGCAGCTTATTATTTATTACCTTGACTCCAGCCCCTCCAGACAGTTCTCTATTCCAGTCCTGTCCCGGAACTCCCGCCCCCATCTCTCATCTCAGTCCGGTCGGTTGGGTTATGAATAAAGATGTATTTAGGAAACAAAACATGCTTGACCTGGCCTAACCTAACCCGGCTCTTGACTATGACAGCATCAAGTTCTTGCGGGGAAAGTATTCTGGTATTGTCCTTTCCCTTCTTTCCCTTATGGCGATCGTTCCTTTCATCAGCAACAACAGCTGTTTAACTGTTGCAAAGGTTTACAAATTGCATAAATATAAGTGAAACTCATCAAGCAGTCTGATCTACTAGATAATTAAGTGGGTGTTAATAAACAAGATATAACAGAATTATTCATGTTTTCTGTTCTGCCACTTTACTTTTCCTTCTTTCGCTTCCAGCAAGTTTTACTTTTAACTGTGTAAAGTCCTTGTAATGCCTGATGATGCATCCAGTGTTAAACTGAAACTAGTTGCCACAGCAACCATTTGAATTTACTTACAAACAGCCATTTTTAGTCAAATTTGCGTTAAAGGCCAAGTCACACCGAGCTCGCTACCGCGGCTAGTGAATGTTAAGTATAATTTTACAAACTTCACATTAAAATGTTTGAGCAGTGCCAAAGTATATGAAGGATAATGAAAGCAAACACAGTGATTTAGCATTAATAGTGTAATCACAGAAGCTCAATTTCATGTCAACATAGTCCATAATCTTACATTTCTCATCTTCAGACCGGAATAGACGATCAAGTCAAAATATTAAGATAAACCCACGGGGAAGCATTGGACTTTGTTATTAAACTCTAATCTCCTCTTAAGATTTTCGTTTATAATTTACTTCGCAACTATAGAGATAGATTACACCGAAGTGTAATTGCTTCACTTCGTCGTCCTTGAATGTTAAGTAGCAATTTGCCAGTTTTTCATCTCTTCAGAATGGAAACGGGTGTGGAAGCGCCTACGGGGTATTTAAATTTTAAATCCATTTTGAGTTTGCAAACAAGACATACATGTTCCACGACAGTTTGAGGAGTGTAGGAAAATTGTTTGTTATTTAAATCAATGTGTGTAAATAGTATTGTGAGTGAAGGTTGTGTAAATTAGAAAAATAATAGTATGTCTTCTTCGAAAGAAATTGTTAGATGAATCCTGTTGGTACCGGTAAGTGGTTTCTTAAGGCATTTCTGCACGTTTCTTTTACCACAGGGCCATTCTTGTTGTATCTAACTTAATTTAATAGTGGGGTATGTATAGTTTTGTCCTAGTATCCAGAATATATGCTTTTAGCAACTATTATTAAACCCTATTATTTATATTAACTTTTGCTGTGGTTAATAGGTTTTACAACAGATCAAGTGGTTTACACTGAGCTAGAAATATAACTGGAGTTAGCACTGTCACAGCAACTCTGCTAGAAAACCAAAAGGCTGTAGTTTTGTTATGTTGGCACCAACTAGGGTAATCAACTCATTGACTAATTAAATATACATTGCTTTGTAGACAGTAACTATTTCTTTATGATACAGTCGAACCTCTTTAGTAAGAGCCTTGGTAAAACGAATTCCTCGATAAAACGATTTTAAATCCCCTAGAAACTTACATAAAGGTCAATGCTAAAAACACCTCTGTACAACGTAGTAATTAGGTTGAAAACCTCCATATGACGAATTTGGTTGTGACATGGGCTAGGACTGATTAACCTCTATACAACGAATATTCTCAACACAAAACCTCTACAAGACGAATGCGACTTCTATAAGACGAATTTCTCATTTTCTTAACCTCCATAGTACGTAGTTTTCAAAACAAAAATAGGCTCTTAACATGATATCCACACCCATCCCTCTTCCTTCCTTAGTCATTGTCTCAGAGCGAGAAGAAACCTCTATAACACGAATGACGGCAGTTTAAACCTCGATAAAACGAACGTTTTTACTAAGAATACCTCGATGGTACGAATTTCACCCCCTACCCTTTGAAATTTGTCTTATAGAGGTTCGAATTTTACACTAAATCGATTGTACGTTAAGCAAAATCTACTTTAAAGCAGTTTCACTACTTGTAATCATTATTTTCAATTACAACTTGTCCAACACAAGTGCGCTAGGGGCTATAAATTGAACAAGTGCAATGCGATACACTTTCTATGGCGGTGTGGTTAACTTGGGCAAAACTAATCGTACTTTCACAGCTGATCGCGCAAAGAGTAATAAAGAGTGGAATCTATTAAACATAGAGTTAACAGTGAAAGTGCACACGATATCGAGCCTTATTGGTAATGTGTAATCATGGGAATGCAGAACTAGCCGAAGCCGACTTGTTTATTTATCACTTTATGGCAGGTAGTTATCTGTATTTAATTGGTTGTAACCAATGTGAATATAATAAGTGTAAAGCAGTTTTATGGTTGATTGCGTCGTAAAGTACCCATTATTATCTTTATTGCACGGGGCTAATTATTAAGGAGTTACTGTGGTAATTCACATACTTTAATATTTTTATTTTCATATGTACGTCTTCGGTTTGTGGAATTTTTATACTTTGAGCGTTGTTTAGATTTGTTGTTTTTTGTTTTACTTTTATGTATATTTTGGTATTTAAACCTAAAAGACCTTATGTAAGTAATTGTTTTAAACTGGACCTTAAGATATAAATAAAAAATTCAATTTTTTTTAATTTGTCAGTATCTAGTCAAAGGCTTGGACTAATAATCCTCAGTGTTATGTTTCTTAGTTTACCTTTGAATTAAAATTAAAATCTGATCGAAGTGCAATCGGTTAACCATGTAAACCCTTTATTTTGTTATATTTAGTAAAGTTTTTAGCCATAACTAGCCAAGTTTTCTAAAGTCGTGGTGTGACACCGATATTATAATTTTGACATCATCCTGAATTTCAAAATGTATTCAAATGTATTTAAACGCATATCATCGCAATCTTTGGGATGAATTTTTTATGTTACGTAGCTGGCTAAAATAATTATGTTACAAAGAAAACTATCATGGTGCTAAATGTTTACAATATTAATAAATGCCTTTGTCAATTTTTTTTTATTTTTCAAGAGTATGCAAATGCAAAGAAATATTTCATTACTTTTAAGAGGGCTTCCCACTACACAAAA